TATCAACCCTATTTCGACTTGACGTTGAGTTCCGGTACACCCTGTATATTATGTTCTTTCCGACTCAAGAAAAAAATTACTCTGTATATAAATATGAAGCACAAAATCTATGTAACAGAATTGTAACACATATTTTGTTTTTGAATAAAAAAAACATGATTCTAAGTATTGGCCGATACAGATATATATATATATATATATATATATATATACTTAATAATATTTAATTAAGGATCAAATGTCAAATCAAAAGTTTACGACGCCCGTATTACTCTTCGAAAGTAGCTGCTCCTTTAAATTAAAATTAATTAAATAATCTCCACTCTAAGATATATGTGGATATATATATATATATATATATATATATATATATTTCGTTTCTTATATTTGATATATCTACGTAATAAGATCCTTATAGATGTATTCATATATTCTGCATTATGCGAGAATATTCTGTCTAACAAGATTATATTCATTTTTCTTCTACCAGGACTCAATTTGTATACTGAATTTTATGTATGTATATTTTAGAATAAGCTCATAATTTATAATTTTCATATATTTATTCATTTCAAGTTATTACGTAATGGAATTAAAATTAACGAGCAATACCCTGCAATATAAGACAGCAAATTCATATTCAAAAATAATAAATTATAATTATTATTAAATCTTCAGAACATGATAATTTAATTTATATTATTATCATTTTACTTTTTTGTGTGCTCTTATAATCTTCATAACATCCATAAAAATGACAATTAATACTCAAAATATGTAACATTTTTCCTAAAGCAAATTGGATATTGCTTTTCATTTACTTTGTAAATTCATTCATTTGTGTCAAGTGCTTTATGACAAACTATTGACTATAAAATACAAATATCGGTTCTTCCAATCTATGAAAAAATTGCTTTTCAATTTAAAGGCAGAAAGTTCTGCTCTGAGTTTTGTGTATCGATTTTCTAAACCAGGTTATAGCGCGTAGCAAGGTCCTTGCTGACGTCATTCAGAAAGGAGTCCAAATGTATTATCCTTCGTATATTTGATGGAATTTCTTGAAATTTCTTCGGGACTGTTGTAGAATAATAAATATTTGTAAATCATCAATATAATACAGGTAGTATACAGGTCATTGCCTCCATAAAGGAAAAAATATTCTTTTGGGGCATTAATGCAATTACATTAACTCACACTTTGCGAATATATATTGTAAAAAAATAATTTTGAAAAATTGCTAATATTTACAGGTTCATGAATTCTAATCATCATCATTATTGTCTCACAATTGGTGTTTGAATTATCCATGGAGTTAAGCTCATTTATCTACTCCAAATAATTGCAATAATTGCAGAATTATATATAATTATTTTTTTCTGGATCATACATTTTATAGTCCATTAAGGGGGCATATTCAAGTGTAGAAATTCAAAAAAATCGATTTCTTTTAATTTCATATTTTCAAAGTTTAACTATCTAAAAATATGGGTACGAGAAGGTTTTTGAAAATTTGAAATATTTTCGGAGACATAGGCATTTTACTGACTCGGTCTTCATACTGGTTATGGCTTCACGCAAAACTTTAAATGCGTTTTTCTTAGAACATACTTTTTCAGTACTGTTGACACGAATTCCCGAGTTTTAATCGGCCGATTCACTTGAAATGTTCAGAGTCTTGTTTATAGACCTTTCTATAGCCCGAACTAGGATTATTCCCAAATTCCAATTTTTAGTATTTTTAAAAAAATCGAAAAACTCAAAAAAACAGTGAAAAAACACTTCTTTAAACAGTCGCCAATTTGTAAAAAATTTTTTTTTACTCATCGCTAGTTCGGGCGATTGCGGCATCATTGTAGATTAATAATCTTTTTATTTTTTGCATTTTCGATGGCCAGGAGGGCTGAAATCATGTCAAGACTGAGGTGCCAATTTTTTGAGACCACCCACTTTATCAGCTGCCAGTTTTTACAATTTTCAACTTTTTTATTTTTTTGTTTTGTATTTTAATAATATTAATAAACAAGTGGTGAAAAAATGGATAGTAAAAACATTCATTGATTTCTTTTACGACACTTTAAAAATGACCTGAAATTCATCGCTCTACACTAGCATACCCCCTTAATAAAGCACTCTGTCTTGCAACCACAAGGTTTTGAGTTCAAATCCCGCACTTTGTAGGACCTGATACGAAGCATTTTAATTGAAAATGCAGAAATAATTTATGTTTCAAATTTTAAATATATTCTCGAGACATTATATTGTAATATATCACCTCACACTTTACAAGTATATAAGGTGAAAATTTCAATTGAAAGCAAAAGACAACCATAGGGTTGCCTCAGAACGAAATTAAAAAAGGAATGCAACAGTTCATAATTCATGCTGATATATTTAGATATATATATATATATATATATATATATATATATTAATTGTTTAATATGAACAAAACAGCACTCAGATTTGTTTAACACAACTTTATTTTATGATTACAGACGTTTCGAGACCATGGTGTGTCTCATCTTCAGTGTAATTTCAAAAACAGTTACTTATATGCTACACATTCTTTAATAATTTATTTAAATTTCATTTAATTTTTGGTATACAAAAAACACCAACTATTCCTTGCAATGCTTGACACCGTACTAAAGAAACATATAACACTTACAGAAATATTCTAAACAAATTTGAAGTACTTATATAGATGGAGACAGAGAGGGTATCATTATCGGCCATCGGCAGAATCAATGTTAATAGTTCGGACTAACAATAGCATAAATCTAAGAACCGACACAAATATTTTACATGACACTTATATAAACATCATTAATAATTTATAAATTTTTTCATTTATCTTATTCTTTTCAATAAATTAATTTGTTTTTTCATTTTTATCGATTTTGTATGCGATAGCACTCCTTCTGTTTACATTATAATGATACCCTCTCTGTCTCCATCTATATAAGTACTTCAAATTTGTTTAGAATATTTCTGTAAGTGTTATATGTTTCTTTAGTACGGTGTCAAGCATTGCAAGGAATAGTTGGTGTTTTTTGTATACCAAAAATTAAATGAAATTTAAATAAATTATTAAAGAATGTGTAGCATATAAGTAACTGTTTTTGAAATTACACTGAAGATGAGACACACCATGGTCTCGAAACGTCTGTAATCATAAAATAAAGTTGTGTTAAACAAATCTGAGTGCTGTTTTGTTCATATTAAACAATTAATATTCGTTCCACTCATATCATAAAATTCTATAATATATATATATATATATATATATATATATATATATATATATTATTTTTAGGTATATAAATGTATATTACCCGATACAACCCTGCATTGCGGATTTTCATTTGTCTCATGGAAGGGACAAGGTCGTAGGTAGCGCAAAGATAATATTGGCAAGGTCGATCGAACGATGCAGAATTGTCAATTTTCGTCCACTACAAATCAAAATACTACAATAGTCATTTTGACTTTCTAATAATTTGAAAATTTACTATAAAATATAATGCGTTCTCGCTCGAACATATGATTCAAGAACGGGATGGATAATAAAAACTGAACAATGAAGGGAATTTTAAAGGTGTTTTGTTTGTCTTATTGGAATCATATATATCATTATCTCGCTCGAACATATGACGAAAGAACGGGATGGATGATAATAACTTAGCCATGATTTTAATGCAAATATTCGTTGCTTATTGTTGCAAGTTTATATATTGTTATATATGAAGTTTGACTTTATAATAATATCGAATTTTACTATAAAAATTATTTTTTCAACGTTCAAAAATCAAATTTATGCAAAACTATGAATATACAGATTGCTGGTCAAAAATAATATTTGAAAACCAATAATTAAGTCTTTCTATTTGGGTATTTTATATCTTGTATTGGCCAGACGTCAAGAATTAAAAAAAATTAATCAAGATTCTGCAAATTTTCTATGGAAAACATTTTTTGTTATAAATTATTGTGGAATGACTTGTATTAAATTTGTGTTTGAATTACTTGTATGTTCAGAGAAAATGGTTGATATATATATATATATATATATATATATATATATATAACCTGGTATTGATTAGGTTAGTAACGTCAAAGACAGGCACAGCCAGAATGCGCAGAAGTTTAATAGCGAAAGTTTGTTTGAGTATATTTATTCAACTTCATATAGATGTAAATGTACACCATATATACATATATGTATATATATATATATATATATATATATATATCTAAACATGAACAAATTAAGTTCCTGTGCAGTAATATATTTATGTTGTAATTCGAGTTCTATGGAAGAAGCTTACGTTTTTTAAGCCCCACTTTGCAATTAATTACATGCGATTATGCGGATTTTAAATCTACTATTACAAATAATTGAGTATGCTATTATTAATAATGAATAATTATATCGACACTTAACGGAGAGACCCCGTGAATATTTTCGTGCTTGAAAAAATATAATTGATCAGTAAAGTATTATTGTAGTTATAATGAAAAATTCTCGGAAACTATATTAGACGGAACAGATTAGCCTATTTTTTTAAATATTAAATATACTCGTACAATATGTTTACTTTATTATAATTTGATACATTTGATATAATTTGATAGTACACGACTAAACCACATTTATAAAATTAGTAAGGCTTTTTGTAACATTAAATGGCCGCATGCCTAGAACTGACAAGACGTACTTGTCACTTCTAAGCATGTGGCCATTTAAGGTTATACATTATAAATAGCTATTTATAAATGCGTTAATAGTCAATAATGCTTTTGTTGCATAAATAAATTGTTATATAGGTCTTCATGAGAAAAAATTGAAGGAATCTGATAACCTGTATCTTGATTTCGAGGCGTCGGAATCGCCAGAGTCTCGAAGTCATGATATAGGACATCAGATTGTTATATATGATTTTATTTTATAAACTTACTTTGTACGCCCATATATAACTTCATTGTATTTTTTATTTCAGTTCTATGCCTTGTTGGAGAGTAATACCTTCATGAACCACACCATAGGCTACAGAAAAATGACACTTTTTGCACCAACAAATGTTGCTTTCCAGAGATACAGGGGACCACTCAATAATTCACTAGTCACTTATCACGCAAGTAAGTATAAAACTTTATTATTTTGCAATTATAATATGTAAATGTCTCATATATGAACTCTCCCCAATTGCACAATGTGTCATTATCCTTAATAAGATATCGGTAATAATGTTTTCAACACTTAACACTTTTATTAATATTACCGATGTGTTAATTGAATGTACGAAACTTCATATAAGCCAATTACTGCTAATTACAATATCTATATCTGCCCGGCGAAAGTTTTGACAAACTAGGTGACATATTCTTTGTGTCTTATGAAACCACGTGTGAAATAATTGACACATCTGAAAATGTTGTCTGATGCGATTCATATATATTGCCTTCTTGCTCCAATATTTGACATTAGAAAGGGGTGGATAATAAAAACTGAACAATGAAGGGAATTTTAAAGGAGTTGTCTGATGCGAATCATATATATATTATTATCTCGCTCGAACATATGACGCAAAAACGGGATGGAGAACATTTTAGCCATGATTTTAATGCAAATATTTGTTGCTTATTGTTGCAAGCCTGTATGACGTTATATATGAAGTTGATTGATGTTTTTGAAATTTCGATTGAAAATAACGAAAGTGGTTTAATCATGAAAATTTATTAAATTGTGAAATAATGAGAAACGTCAAAATTTCAAAATATATGAAACTTGCATCAAGGTAAAACACCACTTAAACTTAGTTATTAATTGTTACAATTGAACATTCAAGTGTCATTCTTTTCCTATATGAATAACTTTTACTGTATAAAGTTACAACTTTTACTATTTTGTCAGCAAATTCGACTACACCGAGTGTTGTATGCAACGTGTCGCTTTTTCTTCCTTCGTCGTAGCTGCGCTAGATTAAAAATACTATTTCATTGTCAACATAAATTCCCTCATTTTTTGCCGACATCCAGTGGCGTGCGTAACTTTATACACGTTCGGAGGTGCACGTACGTGATTTCCATAATTCTGGGATAAAGCTTGTCGGACGTGGGGTTTGTTTTATGCCTTTTTCGAGGAAAAACAAAACTGGGGCAAATGTGGAAAGGAAATTTTGTAACACAAACATGGCATAGTACGAGGTGTGTTCAAAAAGTACCCGGAATTACTAATAATTAAATTTCGCGGGTCTGGAGTGTCTGATTGTCAAAATTTTTTTTTTATTGTGTTGGTATACATGCCCCTAAAGTATGATGAAATTTTCAGCTATATTCACTGTTTACTTTGTCTGTGGTAGTCGCTAAGGTTCGACGTGTTTTTCTGAGCTCGGCGATTTTTACAATGGAAGAATTGAAAAGTCAAAGAATTTGTATTAAATTTTGCGTAAAAAATGAAATAAAGTGTTGCAAAGTGCAAAAATTCACCAGATATGGCTCCGTGTGACTTTTTCCTATTCCCAAAGTTGAAGAGACCCATGAAAGGACGGCGGTTTTCATCGATTGAAGAAAATCGCTGAGAGTGCTCAAGGACATATCAAAAAGTGAATATCAAGGGTGCTTCGAAAATTGGAAAAAACGCTGGCATAAGTGTATTATATCTGGGGGGGACTACTTTGAAGGGGACCACATTAATGTAGACGAATAAATAAATATTTTTTTGAAAAAACGAAAATTCCGGGTACTTTTTGAACAGACCTCGTATATAAGTATATAGATAAATTAATTTATTTGGTTTAATGTCGTTGTTTTTTTTTGTCTTTCAGCAAATGTGGCTCGTGTTTTGGACGAATTGCCTAATAGTGTTTTATCTGAGTCTGATGGAAACCCACCCTTATGGGTTACTAGAAAAAGGGGCACTCACAGTGACGAACTTTATATAAATAATGCTAAAATTTTGAAAAGACGGTCGGATTATGTTGCTCCCACTAAAAATGGGGAAAACAAGCAGGTAGGATTATGAAAAATATTTTTTTTATAAAATAGCATATGTTTTCATAGACACTCATTGATATATACAAATATAATTTAGGTTTTGCACGTAATTGACGAAGTTTTGGAGCCGATTCAACTGGCTAATCCAAATATACAAAATTACAATCCTGATGCTTTCGAATTTCTTAACCAATCAGAGAATTACAATATAGGCCATCATAGAGTCAGGTAAAAATAATATTAAATATCATTTGAAATACATATAGTCTTCAATTTTCATTTTCATTATTGTCATAATTATTCTATAGGACATTCAGACAGAGAATGCTCCACACAAGAAGGCAACACGTATTTTCAGCTGATGGCAGACACACTTTCTTTATTCCAGTAGAAGATGGATTTAAGGTAATTTTGAATTGTGATTTAATTAAGACTACTTTTAAGTTAAAAGTAGAAAGAAAATCTAAATTTTCAACTAAATTGACCACCCGCAGAGTGTAAAACTACGCCCTTTAACATCTATCACGCCTTGTAATGATAAATTAATTCAGTTAATGAATTTAACTATAAGTTGTAAAAACAGTGGGAGGTTATTGATTAAAGTTTTCCATGTTCTTTATTGTAATCTAAAGAATTGAATGAGATTACTAAATTTTATAAATACATACAAAAATAATGAAAACGTTATTGCCTGTTATTAACATATTAAAGATTATATTAAAGAAGTACATTTTTAACTTCCCGTAGGGTATAAGTTATTGTAATCGTCCAAAAATCCAAAATGAAAATTTTTACATTTCTCGACGTTTTGAAGGTTTCTGAACATTTTGGCATACCTCAGAAAAAATGGATGTGTGTGTGTGTGTATGCATGTATGGATACAATTTTTCGTCCACGTTTTCGGGCGCACGGTTCAACCGATTTGAATGGTTCAAAAAACATTCGATTCCTATTGATAAGGAGATGTGATGATTAGTTTTTGGCAAAGACAGGTCCAGCCGTTACGGAGATACGGAGCAAAGAGTGCAGAAAATAGGAATTCGAGTTTTAGAGAGAACTAAGCAACCGATTTAAATGATTCAAAGAACTTTCTGTTTGTTTTAACAAAATAATTGATTTGGAAAAAAAAAATTTGTTTCAATTTTTTTTCCATTTTTTTTCTTTTTAATTTTTTTGTGTATCGAAAATAATTCAGATTTTATTTTTAATTCTTACCAAAGCTTTAATATACTTTAAACAAATAATTGCAACGTTGCAATTCAGTTTATATAATATCCTTATAAATATTAGACATCGTTACAATATTAATAATAATCTATTAAATTGAAAACATTCAATATTTCTCGAACATTTCGTTACGGTACGGGAAGTTCCAGCAATTTGCCTTAAGGCACGATGCCATACTAGTCTTTACATTTTAGTATTAAATGGAACTTAATACATTAAAATGGTTGTTTGAATACATTTAGCTCTATTCTATTTTTGTTTTATAATTAATCAACTTCTGAATCATTTATCGTTGTTTTATTCCTGATCCTGTTTGATGTTATCTGATAATTGTATGTGATATTTTCATCTATCCATTTCATTCCATTCATTTCTTGTATCAATAACTATATATTTTCTATTTAGCCAACTATGCGTTCGAATTTGATTGATGCCAAAGTCATTGATGGGCATGTGGTTCCCAACCAAGTTCTATTCACAAAACCAACCCCAAACGACCCTTATCAGACCTATGCCTTTGGAGATAACCTTCAGGTGACAGTTTCCATGCACACCGTTGACGACGGCAAAACCACCAAGAGTAAGTTTATAATTTAGATGAAAATTTATTAGAGGGAGAATTATTAGTTGCAATAATTGTTTGTTTCGATAAAACTAATATTGATTTTTTAACCAGCCTATGTTCGATCTAACACACTGATCGGGGACCCAAACCATGCTACGGGGGTTGTTCTAGCAGAAGTTGTCAAGGCTAATATTCCAGTCAGGAATGGAGTCGTACATCTCATCAATAGACCACTCATGGTAGTCGATACCACTGTCAAGGAATTTTTAGAGGTCTGGATGAAGATAGAATAATTCTAAAACCAATCAATATTTAGAATAAGATTGCTTAAGTCGTAGCACCTAGTAATATTTAGTGCAGTTAAGATAAAAGAATACATTTAGTATTTTCTGAATCGTTATTCATTCGATTTATGAATAATTACTGAAAAATTAATATAGAATTTAGTCTGAGACCAACATTTCTTAACAAAGAAAAGCATTATTACAGTAAGGTCTAAAATAAATTAATATTCTCAAGTACTTCTAAAAATATTACTACCAGTCTTCCAATAATAAATAGTTATTCATTCAATTTATGAATAGTTACTGAAAAATTAATATAGAATTTAGCCTGAGATCAACATTTCTTTACAAAGAAAAGCATTATTAGAGTAAAGCATAAAATAACTTAATATTCTCAAGTACTTATAAAAATATTACTGCCAATCTTCCAATTGTAAATGTTTGCTTAATGACCAAATAGTTCAATTTAACAGCACCTAATGGTTTAATTTATAAATATCAAACAAATCATAATCAAACAAATCATAGCCCGGGTACGACTTGAGCAACCTTACCCTATATTCAAATTATTTTATTTTTTATTTAATATTTTTGCTTTATTTTTCCGGTGGTGGGTTTGTTCAATTTTCCGCACTGCAGTCTTTTAAGGTAAATGCAGTTGTTTCATATTATATATTGATATAGATTAGAGAAAAACTTTTTCAAACCATAATTATATATATATATATATATATATATATATATATATACATATATATTTATATGCATATATATGTGTGAACGTATATATGAATTGTTGTATGATTTGAATGAAATCAATACAATATCTAAATACTTCATATCTTTATTTAAAAATGCATACGTCTTAGGTATAAACTTAGCTTTTATTCAGTAGAAAAAACTATATGAGTGAATTATGTATGTTGTGAGTCTAAATGTGTACTATATGTATGTCATATTGATTTTTCATTATTGTACTCAAAGTGTGCCAATTTTCATATTTTTTTAGTTATTTTTCTTGAAAAGTCATTTCATGTACGAATATTTTTAGCTTGGATGCATGAATGAATAAAAACATCTGCATTGTGTTCGTATTTCCAAATTATAGTTTAATTACATACATAAGTATTTTGATAATCATGTGTGACATAATCAAGTTGCGTAATAGTTCAGAAAAATTGTAATAAAAACTTATTTTTTATGGAATATATTGCGCGGCTTGAATATTTGTGACCATTTTTAAATTCATTATATACTTCACCATCAATTGATTCATTATATCCATTTTTCATTGAGCAGTAGTTCATTTATATAATATAAAAAATTTCAAAAGTATATGAACATTATCCATACAACAAAATACCGGATAAAGTGTTTTTTCCATAACTATTGATGATGATAGTTTAAAAAATGGTTTAATTGTATTTTCTTTATTGCTTGGCATGTCTCTTGGTGGGAATTCTGCATGATTCTTTCGATCCTAGGGTTTTGTAAGTATTTTTTACTTTTTTGTATGAACCTATATATAATTACAGTATTCTCAAATATATGATGATTTGAGATTATGTTTATAAGAATACAACTCATACATGATGAAAGTAATCGATCATATCATGATAATTGTATTTTTGTATTATCACATTTTTTATATTTAAGAAAATTATAAAAAGAAAAAGAATCGCAGATTTTATGAAGTGGCTACCATATTGCTAATGTAAAGTGAAAAGTACAGATGATGATTTGTATATATACATACAGAATACGCAGAAATATTATATATTTCATCATTATTGTAGCTGCTTTTGTCATTGACGCCTAATTGGAATGAATGTCTTTCCCTATAATACTATCTATATAAGTAGTTACAAAATTTTCTATTATAGATAATATAAATGTAATTAAATTACTATAACCATAGATTTTTTCTAAATTATGTTATATTTGATAATTGTTTATATTCATGTAATTCATTTATCTATTAGGACAGAGAAGATGGACCATTATTTGAATTTTACCAAGTGATTATGGATGCTGGTGGTGATTTTATGGAGCTTTTGGTCAGGACAAAAGATTTAACCTTATTCGCTCCCAATAATGCAGCGTGGAGATCGCAGGCTTCAGTTAATGTTATCAGGTACACAAAATAAGATTAAATAGTTTTATATGAGATATTTATATGGTTTCATTTTCAATTTAAGAAACAAGGAAAAACTCAGGGAAATTCTCAATATGCACTTGGTACGTGAACGCTTGCCAATGGATAAAATCCTTCAGAACAACATTAATCAGGTAATTTGATAAATTAACTATGAATATTATGATTAAACATTAAAAAATAACAACATTCTTCAAACTTACTATAAGATGCTTTATCAACAGGTATATAATATATTCAACATGCTTATCCTTATAATTTATTTCTGGTAATGATTGACTGGGCAACTTGCCCTATGGAAGATATCACTTACACCCTGTTACCCTGATATGCACAGAAGCACTGAATTATAATTTACAAATATTGAAAATAAAATGTATTTCTGTTACTGATTCAAAGATTTGGCAGGTGTCTACAGTGGCCGACCGTCGCAGTTTGTTCTTCAACATTCTTAACAATGGCCTGAACCAGACCTTGACGGTGGAAGGAGCAGGAGTGAACGCGACTGTGGTGCAGCCCAATGTGGCCTGCACGAACGGAATCATCCACATCATCGACAGGGTGTTGGGAGTGCCACACACCACGGTCATGCAGAAACTGCAGACCGATCCGATGCTCAAGTAAGAGGAATTGATATTTGACTTATTATTTGTTATAAAACATGGAATATTTATTGTTAGAATAAAAAAGTATGAAGAAATTAATACAAAATGTAGATAGATGGTGATTTATATACAAATGTATTGAAGTGTTTTATTTTTCTTTCAGCTCAACATATTTCTTGGGAAAATTGTCTAAATTCAATCCCCAATTGAATGATACAAAACGTAGATTTACATACTTTGTGCCCAGGGACAAGGCCTGGCAAAAGGCTGAATTAGAATACCCATCTCAACACAAAAAATTATTTATGAAGGATTTTGCATACCACGTGAGTAGAATAGATTGAGACTTGATATTTGATTTGTTTCCGAATAATAAATAGCAAACTGGTATTAGTAACTAGGGAATGCAATACCGATGGAAAATTTCAATACCGGTATTTCGGTAGTTTTTCATTTTATAACCGGAATACCGGTAGATTACCGGTATTTTTATTATCTTAAACAAACGTAAACAAAATTGAAAGTTACTAGTACAAATATAAAAAAATGTATATACAACCAGAACTATATTCAACTAAACAATAAATACAATAAAATAAAACAATAAGTTTATTTTTTTAAATAATAATTTAACAAAATTATATCCAATTTAATTAATTCACTATCACTATCGAGTATATTGAGTACTTTTCACCAAAAACAAACTTATGAGTAAGAAAGACCAAAAACTCATAAAATTCTCATTTTCAAAACTAATACATTATTATAAAAAACTGTATGTGTTAAATTAGCATAATCTCCAATTATTTGAAAAAATAATTTTTCTACACTAATTTAAGATCGGATATTTTGTCGAGATAAATAATAAGTTACTATAATTGTTATTTAAAACAATGTGATGGTTCTATAGTATTTCCAAACTTCGAAACGTTTTCGAAAAATAATATTTTATAATTGTAATAAGAAGCAAAAATATTTCGTAATTATCATAATTATTATGTATAAAGTTAGAAAAAAATAAAGATTACGCAGGGGTAATCTGTATGATTTAAAATAATTTGGCGGAAATATCACTTAAAAAACCGTTGCATTTTTATATAAGATGAAACAAACATCATATTATGTCCAATTCTATTTAATGTAACACTATAAGAAGCCTTTATTCAAACAATAAATATTCAATTGTTTATCCTATAGAATCTCTTGAAGATATAGCTGTTTATGCGATTATGGAATTTAAAGATAAATTTGTTCCGAGAAATTTAAACTTTAGGGTATTATGTATCAAATAGCGCTTATGTAAAAATTCCGAAAATACCGGTATTTTTAGGGTAAATACCGGTAAAAAAACCGCCGAAAAATCAGGCGGTTTACCGGTAATTCGGTAGACCGGTAAACCGGTATTGCATTCCCTATTAGTAACTTATTTGTATGATTGTTTTTATTTGATGCTATGTTTCTGTATGTAATATTATATTTTTATAGACACGTGGAATATTGGAACGTCATTTGGTGATTGCAGACAAAGCTTACACAATGTCTGATTTGAAACTAATGGGCAATGATACAATTGTTTTGCCGACACTCAGGGATTCATTGCATCTGAAAGTCAAAGAAATTGGAAAAAGTAAGTTTTCTATACTATATATTATTATAATTTGTTGATAACTGATAAATCATACCGCAAAGCATTGATTGAAATGTTTAAATCTATAGCTTGTTATTGGATTCAACATCTTCTTTTCTATTTAAATAAATTTAGTATATCACACAAGGCTATTCTTGGTCTTTTTAAAATCATTAGATTGATTTTGTTCATTTTAATTTGAAATATTTTGAATATCATATAGCAGGTCATTCTTTGGTATTTTCAAATCATTGGTTTCTTTTTGGATACATTATCTTCTCTTCTCTTCTTCTCTCTTCTAATCATTTATATAATCATTTTCATTTTAAACATCACACAACCGAATCTTTTTCAGCCTTGTTAGATTTACATCATCTTTTCTAATTATTTATATAAGTCTAAAGATGTATCATAACAGAAGTTTTCTAGGCATTTCTATCTTATACATTCATTTTGGATGTATCATCCTCTGTTCTAATCATTTATATAATCATTTTAATTTATTTTCATTATTTCATTCAAACAATTCAGGCGAAGGGTATATGAAAAATGGCTCTGGTGATCATGGTGAGTTCGAAAGTGTGCGCCTGTGTCTTTTATGTATTATCATCATTAGTATTATCTATTATCATTATTATTTTTTCACATTTATGCACAATTGAAGAGTTTAAGCACACACACATATACAATATATATAAAAGTATTGTATTATATATAAATGTAATGTCAAGAAATAAATGATTTGGTTGTAAATAAGCTTTCCTATTTTGCAGATTACTATATTGAGTGGAAAAACGAACGAATTCCAGTTTTCAGGCCAGATGTGGAATGCACAAATGGAATTATCCATGTAATAGATCGACCTTTATTACTAGAAGGAGATGTACGGGTTACTGGTGCAGCATCAAGCATCATGTTTTGCACGCAGTCTATAGTATTTATTCTTTTAGCTAAATTATTGCTAGCTTAAAAAACTATTGGATGGTGAATATCCTTACAGACAGGCATAGGTATGTTCAGAAGTGATTTTTTTGTTCGCGACTTTGAGATTTGAAACAAAACTTAAAATGTTAAAAACGCCTGAATGAATTTCTATGGCTTATTGTATGATTATGAATTTGGACTAAGTTCAATGGTGGTCTTCTACACCAAATTTTTAAATGATTGTAGTCATAGATAAATGAATATTTAAATTATATATTATTATATGATACTATATTTTTTATTGTAAAATATTATTGGCTTCTAATATTTCCAAGTAAAAGCCAGGCATAAAAGAAATAATATATATATTATATAATATATATAATATATATATATATATATATATATATATATATATTTTATTTTTCTGAACTAAAAGCCTACTTTTCAAAGATTTATATTTAGTATTTTATTTATAATTACTTATATGTTTAAGAAATATGATATGTCCATCTCTTCAGGAACTGTTAATATCAAACAAAAATGTGTTTATATACTTCTTTACTTATTTAAAAATTGTAAAATTATTCTATTTATCTTCGAATTGAATAAAAACTTCAATAAACACTAACTATAAATTAAATTTTTAAAGACAGTGTTCATTTAAATTTTTTAAATTTCAATCCTTCGAAGGTAAAAAGTGCACATTTTAATTTTTAAATAATTAAAGTAATGTATAAATGTATAAACAAAATAGTTTCTTTTTTATTAAAAGTTCCAATGGAAGTGAGCATTCCATTTTCCAGATATGTATAAAAAATTATAAATGATTAAGTAAAAATTTATTTGAAACTAAAGGATGCTTTTAGTTTAGAAGAATAAAATGATAAATATTATATATATATATATATATATATATATATATATATATATATTGAAATGATAGAATGTCTTCATTATACCAAAAAATGAGCAAAAAATATGCATATCTTGGAAATAAATTCATATTTTTTGTGATATGTATGTAAATCCATACTAAATCAAAAGTTTGTATTTATCATATTAATAACTGAGTAATGAACTCATTGAATACTATAAAATATAAATTTACAATTTACATTAATTAAAAGCTATGTTTTGTAACATCATCAAGGATACATTTTTTATAAATCGTTGCAAATACTACTTAAAAAAGTTACATGTCACTTTTGCCAAAGTAAAAAAAAATGAAAAAGTTAATTTTATTATTTATTATTGCATTTTATATTAATTTTATCATTACTTATACATATGCAGATTATTTCTTTAAAGCATTCCAGTAGATCAATGTTAATTTTATCAATTAGTACGGTGTTCTGATATGTGATTACAAAAGATCACATAATACATAATCGAGTAAATGTGTGTGAGATATATCTTTATTGTAATAATGAGTATTTGTGTTTAATTATTTTTGAATGTGACTAGAGATAATTCTGCTTAAAATTAGTTATAAGGCTTTGATGATGCTCCTAATTTATTTAGATGTTTAATTATTTTAAGATGATATGATGGGTGAATCCAAAATTAATATTTGGAATGATATTTTGAGAGTTTTCATTAATTGTGTGATGTAGAGGTGAAAAGTATAAAAAAGGCATCTATTAATCAATGAAGCATATTTATTTTTAACAATTCATTTTGCCAAATATGACTTTTTGAATTAAAATTTATATGATTAATATTATTTTAAAAATCAATACAATTTCAACTGCTTATTCAATAGATTTACATGCAATGTATTTAATATGTTTCATTTAATTTTATTTAATATATTAATAGATCAGTTGAATCAATGGGAAGGCAAAAACTACATCATGTAATTGTTGAATACTCTCCTATGTACTTTTAGAATGATATGGATTGAACGAATGTATGAATGAGAGTTAAAACAATCATATTATAAAACCAATTTAAATCAAAACAGTCATGAACCTCATATTATGCGAAAAACTGCCAAAAGGTTTTTTTTAAGTTGTTTGTAGACTGAGCACTTGTGAACATTTCAAAATGTATAATTTGTAAGTATAATTTTTATAATTTATAGAGTTCCTTACCAAAAATATTGTGCAGTGCATGTGGATGAGTTTGAGATCTTTTATTTATTATTTTCTCTCGGTCCAACGCCTTCTTCTTTACTTTCAAACCAATGCCTTGTTCCCATGTGTTGCTGTTTAAAAACATATAAAGTTAATTCAATTAATTTTACAAGGAAGCTATATCATCAAGTGACTATGTGAAATATATATCAAAATAAATAAATTTATAAGGACCGAGAACTTATGCAATATTTCCATTTGCTATTATGAATACAGGTCAATTGGGAATATTTGAGGATGCTTAAAAAAGCTTAAGGATTACTGTTAGAACATTAAGAAAGTTAATGTAGATATCTAGTATTAAAATTAATAAATCACTCATAAAATTTCTGCAGTGCAATTCCGGCATGTTGAACACTAAAACATTATTTTTGACAGAAATTTAGACTATAGCAATTTATAGTAATTTTATTTACAAAGTGATAAAATTATTTAGATGTTTTGAAAAAATCATATTTCTCCTGACCTAAAAATGGATTTTAAGTATTATATGAATAGATAACTAATAAAAAAAGTCCCAATAATATATAATTCTAATTTTTTATGAAAGTTCTGTCAATATATTGTCTAACTTATCAAGAAATATTATATATTGAAAGCATATATGTATTATCCGTACAATTTAGAGCATCACAATGACTATTGCGATAGAATACAATGTTTAACTTTGTTATTATGTGAGATTTCATAGAAATTGCTACTTCAAAATACACGTTTATAAAAACAACCTACAAATGGTTATTATTTCTTGGCTCTTACTTAATATAGTAATAAATAATTAATCAATGATACTGTTGATGTTTGATATGACAACCTGTAATTTACTTTAATAGAAACATTTCTTGTAATTATTTTCCATTACTGCGCACATTTTAAGTAATATTTAAACCTTAAAGTTTATGTACAACCTAGTGTTTATAAATGATTCCAGTGTATACATTTGAATTTATATTCACCTTATAAGATACACGTAGCTGGAGAAGGAATTGTGGAATACACATTTTACCAATTCAATTAAGCATTCTTTATTCATTTTATATAAACTTTATATTGAAAAATCTATTAATTTTGACACGTGTTTGTGAGGTTAAAATTTTAATTTGAAATTCTAGTTCTCGAAATCGTCTGACAACACTAAAGGCCGCCATTAGTCTGACGGGCCATCTTCTGCATGGAGATTTTTGTGTATCAGCATTTTTATTTCCAATTTCACATATTACATTTATATTTTCCATATAATTCGCCATTCGCCAAGTTCTGAATTTAACTGTCGTCGAACGAGTTCTGAACATAACTTGTCGAGGAACTGTCAAACATTTGACGTACATGTCGGTGGCGCCATCTAACACAGAACCATATGAACCCGGTAGTCACTACGTAGTTCCTGAAGAACTGGGAACAATTTTGCATAGAGGCGCTGCATGCAATCGCCTTAGAATCATAGGATTCTTATTGGATTCTTTTTTACCCAAATATATATAATTATGGCTCGGCTTAGAAGAAATGGTAATATATATATTTATATATCCAATTTCCCTAACAACTAAGTCAACTAGGCCATATATAATCATGTATAAATCAAAATATACATTTATATATCCATTTCCCATACAATTGAAGGCAGCTAGGCCATGTATAATCATGTATAAATCAATATATACATTTATATATCCTTTTCCCATACGAATTAAGGCAGCTAGGCCATATATAATCTTGTATAAATCAATATATACATTTATATATCCTTTTCCCATACGAATTAAGACAGCTAGGCCATATATAATCATGTATAAATCAATATATACATGTATATATACATTTCCCATACAAATTAAGGAAGCTAGGCAATATATAATCATGTATAAATCAATATATTCATTTATATATCCTTTTCCTATACGAATTAAGGCAGCTAGGCCATATATAATCATGTATAAATCAATATATACATTTATATATCCATTTCCCCTACAAATTAAGGAAGCTAGACGATATATAATCATGTATAAATCAATATATACATTTATATATCCTTTTCCCATACGAGTTAAGGCAGCTAGGCCATATATAATCATGTATAAATCAATATATACATGTATATATCCAATTCCCATACAAACCAAGGCAGCTAGATCATATATCACGATGTAAAAATCAATATATACATTTATATATCGATTTCCCATACAAATTAAGGAAGCTAGGCAATATATAATCATGTATAAAACAATATATACATTCATATATTCTTTTCCCATACAAATTAAGGCAGTTAGGCCATATATAATCATGTATAAATCAACATATACATTTATATATCCATTTCAGCTGGCAGCTAGGCCATATATAAAGATGGAAAAAACAATATATAAATCCGTGGATAGTTACCCATTGCTGCATGCAATCGCCTCTATGAATCTAGGAATCTTACTGGATTCCTTTATACGCTTTTATATGAATTCTACTTGACGTTAGTTCCTCACGAACTGGGAACGATTTTGCATAGAGGCGCTGCAAGCAATCGCCGTAGGAGCTTAGGAATCTTATTGGATTCCCTTTTACGCAAGAACTGTCAAACGTTTGACGGTAGTTCCTCACGAACTGGGAACGATTTTGCATAGAGGCGCTGCATGCGCCACACTAATTGAGAGTATGGCGGTAAATTTGAATGAACTTTAAAACTCGGAGTAAAGTCTTATTTTGTGTAATAGAAGCAAAGTAAATATATTTACTTGAAAAATCAAAGTATTAAATATCCAATATTATTCTAATTACATTAGAAGGCAGTAAAAATATTTTTTATGTAGTCAATATCCTTATTCAGAAAAGGCAAATTAATATTTATTAATTATAGTACATCATTAAAAGAGGCGTTTGTATAGTATAGAAATACAAAAATTAACAATATAAAATTAATTTTGTATTATTAAATCATTTTTACAAAAATTTACAAAATAATCTTTTAGATTTATTCAATATTTATCTAACAACAGATCTCGATGCCAAATACTCATGAAAGAAGTTTTACTTCACAATAATCTCACTAAATTAAAATAGAGTTTTATTTCAAAATTAACCTAAATTTAGTATACAAATAATATAAAAACTTATTTAATTATATCAATTTCAAATATATTACAACATAATTCGTTTTTCTTATATGACTTAGTTAAATACAAAATGCAGTTACTAATGATGCATTAATAATTAAAAATATCATTAGCTCAAAATAAAAATTCAATCAATCAATAATTAAATATTTATAACTGCTTAAAATAGAATTATACAAGTAGGTATGTGAATATAACAAGTAAACGTAATAAGCATTATTAAATTAACATATTTTTTAATACTAATTGTAAGCAATAATTTTTTTTTCATGGAAATCATGCAAATCTAAGAAAAATTAGGTATAATACCAATGAGTTTTTGCAATAAAGAATAAATTATGAATCATAGTAAGGCCGTCCAAAGTATTGCTTATGACTTGAAAAACTTATATTGCAATTTCAATTCAGAGCATATTCTTTTAATTTATATTTTATAAAGAAACTCATCAAAGCCCTATATAAAAAATCTACAGTTGATATTTATAGTTCACTATAAAATGATTATTCATTAACTATAAATCTCACATATACTTGCACCCTCCATCATAATTTTAATCACTTAAAATCTAACATAATAAAAACGCGGTTGGTTTTTCACCGAGTTCACCTGACTTAATCTACTCTCATCGTTTCCTAAATGTTCTGTAATAAATTTGAATATTCATTCATTCCTTCCATCACATGTGCCCGGAGGTGCCCCTCGGCTGCGTCCGATTGTGCCCCTGGGGTCCCGCTGAGTACCGTGATCCAGGCCTCGAATGGAGCACTGCATAATGGTCGCTGTACGGGGACACAGACCTGAAACGTGAATAATCATTGTTCCTTCTGGATTTTGTGCAGTCTCAAAAATGCCACTGTGTTCTATGATAGGAGTTAGTTGAATAGATTTCTTTGACATGCAAATACCTTCACCTGATTATTATATAAATTGGGATTGTTAATCATATACAAAAGGCCATGCAGATTATAACATAATTAAAAGTAATTAAATGTAAAGTAAGCCAGTTGAAGAATATATTCCTTGTGTACTGAATTTCTATTAAATGCACTCATCAAATTATAATATAATTTGGAATTGGTTATTCTATATTATGCGAAAACACTTTCATTGTGTTGTTTATAAAATTGTTCACCAACTGGCTTACTTTAGTAATTTATTTCATAGTTTATATCATATATAAATAGAACAAAAACATTATTATTGTAATATAAAATATTGTTCCATTTAGATATATTAAACTATTATTTAATGAAGAAATCCTTTGTTATTTTTTACTATATAGAGAAGATCGATTAAACTTCAATTGGCTTAACATTTAATAATTGGTCCTTGTGTAATTAATATTGATAATTTAAGTATACCAAATCTAAATGGTACAATAATATCAATATTGTTACTCCAATGTTCATACATCATTGTTCCATTTGGATATATTGTTTAATACAAAAAAAATATTAAAGATTTTGCCAAAAATGTTTAAGTATTTACATAAGCTGAAACTGATTATAATTCATATCCAGAAACCCACAAACTTATATATATATATATATATATATATATATATTTAATACTTCTACAGAATTTGATGCATTTCAATGCAAAAAAATGTATCTGGATTAAATCCAATATTAATAACATTACCTGTAAATAAGGATTTGTTTACCTGAAAATCCTCGAATTGAAAGACATACCAAGTGTAGTGCTACTATAAACTTATAAGAATAATATTAAAATTCTCTTTAATCTCTAAGGATTTACCAAAAAGGTTTGATTTTTCAAATAATTGAATGATTACAGTCGTACATTTTCTGTTAAATTTGAAATTCTGCATCCAATTACTATTTTATATAGTCTTTTACTGCTAAATTATTTCAAATGCAATTATTCATTATAATTAGTGCTGAATATATATTCCAAAACCTAAAACATTCTATAATACCATCCAAAACTTGACTTGAACATAAAATATATGAGAATGTAAAAGAAAATAACTGAAAAGTGCGCTCAAAACACTGAAAAAACCTATTTCCTTTATCTCTTACCTAGTTTATTGCCAATCAAGGAAATCATTCTAAATGCAACACAAAAAAATAATTTTAAATGCATTAATTAGTGCAGAACATCTATTCCAAAACCATTCTTTGATGCCTGTTTTACTAGCCAAAAGGTGATTTAAACACAAAACATATAAACATTTAAAAGACGTGTGCCCAAAACATTGTTGCGTTTAGTAAACACGATCGCCCACCTGGTGGAATGAATAGTGGATCCCCCAGATGCATATCCTTTACCATTCCCATGTCCCCCATGAAGGGAATACCTTGAACCGTATTGAGAACCATGCCAACTCCTGTAAGGATCATACTCCTCGATGATTGATGGCTCCTTTTCAATAACCTGGAAAATCAATCATTATCAAGTTTCATAAAATCAAGACACAAAATTATTTTAGCATTCCTTCATTTGTATTTTATATATTGGTTGTTTTGTTTTTAATTGTAAAATTGTGAATTGTATATCTAATACATCTAATATATCTAATGAAGATGCTACATTAAATGTTATAAATTCATAAATTTTATGAATTTATAACATAATTAATAATAAAAATTCTACCTCGGTTCTGGCACAACTGCAAGTCATAGCACTGCATAGGAATATATTGATGAGCAACATGATCAGGAATAAAACTCCTAGGGCTATGCAGAGCCAAAGTAACCAGGATGGATGGACACCAGAATCACAGACCGCTTGTAGAGCTACATTGACGAAAGAATAGAAGTTTAGGTAAATTTCATTCAGGAAATTATACAATAATTTATAAATTTATAAATATATATATATATATATATATATATATAATATAATATATTAATTTAGAAAAATGATACTCTTTTTTGCACTATTTATTAAATAATAATTTTACAAATGTTTCGAGACTAGGTTTGTCTCATCATCAGTGAGTTATAATTTAAAATCTAAAATATGGAAATTTAAATTAGCATTATGTGTTATCCAATTACAATCCAATACATTTTTTTTTATAAACGAACCGTTTACTTTCAAAGAATATATTTTCTCCTAGCGACATCTATTTTTCAACTGGGCCCTATTCCTTCTCTTTCCTATTTGATATTTCGTGACTCACCTAGTTGACCTTGGATAGAGAATTCAGACTCCGACGATCGTTAGTATGGCAGTAATAGGAACGACTTGTAACGGATAACACATAATGCTAATTTAGATTTCCATATTTTAGATTTTGAATTATATACCGCACTGATGATGAGACAAACCTAGTCTCGAAACGTTTGCAAAATTATTATTTAATAAATTAGTGCAAAAAAGAGTGTTGTTTGTTCATATTTCTAAATTAATATCTTTTCACTCAGAATACATTTGTTACATAATATATATATATATATATATATATATATATATATATTCTTTTGTTACTATTGCTTATATAACATCAAGTAACAAAGCAACAAATTATTACTTTTTTGTTTACTTTTACAAAATTTTAATGGATGATCCATTAGTTCAAATAGAATCACGTAACCACAAATGCATTAGTAAAGTACGTTCCGATATCTTATGAAATTATAATGGAATGGATCGTAATTTATTTAACAGCAATATATTATAATTTATTTAAGAGCATTATTTTCCATATTATAATGTAGAAAGTTTTAATAATAACATATTGGATTTTATTACCCACACGAAAACTATAAAATGAAGTTATAATGAATAGTTCGTCAACATCACTTCTTGTACAATTATTGTTTGTTTTTTAAAAAATAATATAAATAATATCTATAATATAAAAATGAATTGCAAAATGTGTTGGTAAGCGCATAACTCAACAACGCCTGGACCAATTTGGCCAATTCTTTTATTAAAATGTACGTTGAAGTCCAAGGATGGTTCTTACGGCAAAAAAAAATCGAATAATTGCCGCAAAACTCTAAAAACAGCCCTTTTCTTTTTCATATACAAACGTTAATATTTTCATATTTTTGCCATCGGATACGGAATATTTACTCAAGTCAATGGAGCATTTTGGGTCTGAATTTTCTTACTGTGCTCCAATTCGTATGAAATTTTGAAATTAGGTTTATCTTACTCTCAAGTTCAAAAGTGAAATCCTTTGCCATTTCCCGGGGGTATGACACCCTCTCAGTGGTGTAATTTTTTTTTTTTTTCAAAATAACGTCGGATATCGATAAAAGAATTAATTACAAGAAAAACATGTTTTATAATGTTTTTTAAAAAGCAAATACTCATAATTTTATTTAAAGTAGTTGTACATTTAAGATCCATATGGGTGAATGTATATACATTTCGGTATAGACTGTAGTGTAAAAAAACATAATAATTTTTAACTAATTGGTAAATATCAGTGTAGGTTATTAGAAAAAAATTGGAACTTTTGAATGGTAAACATAAGTACAGGACGACGTCTGTCGGGTCATCTAGTTATTTAATAAAACCTTTTATATGTAAATAATAATATTGTGTTGAAATAATTTTGTAATATTCATTTTTTAAATTTTAGGTCGTATTATTTAATAAAAATCTTTTTTATTCGTATAAAGTTGTTGGAAAAATTTTGATTATTTTAAATCAGCTAAATATACATGTAAAACCTTACTATAGCCCCCCCCCTTGCTCCACGCGATACTTAATTTTTTTTATCAAACTCGTTAAAGGGAGGGGCCTTTAACAATCACGTAATTAATGGACTAATGGGTGATTAATGAATCCAGATCAAGTAATTAAATTAAACCCCAAGTTGTAAAAGTTCTTTACCACTTTTTCCCATAGTTATAAACCGATCGTGATCCTCTGTAAATCGCAACATTGAGCGTTGACTATTTTCGCCCGTAATGACGGTCGCCGCTCGCATGACTTACCGTCGAGGGCGATTATTTTTTGTTCGCCCGGGGGGCAACTATTACGCGATGGCCCCCACGCCCCCCACGAGAGACGAAGAGATCACGAGACCACGACACGGCGGCCTCTCATTACGCATAGGTGTATAGTATGTATGGGATTCCGATTTGCCAGAGGTGAATTAATCAATTGCCATAATCGTAAAAGATATTAATCAATTATTTAATAAAGTGATTTTTTTCTTGGAGATCTGTTTTTTGCGGATGCGGCTTTAAACACCTTTTCATATTTATTAATTTCCCGTCGAGTTACGAATTGATTTTTTTTACATCCGTATGTTTCAAAGATATCTGACCTTTTCTCCGAATGCCTTAGGAAGTGTATGTATTAGAGATGGATAACTCACTCCGGAGTTATTACTCCGATACAACTCCTTCCTGTGTGAATCCGAGTGGAGTTGTCTCACAGGATTTGTTATATCCGATTTTCCTAAACTGGTACTGAATCTGTTAACATGTGCAGATATTTGCTTGAGATTGTTTACTAATACAAAGATTTGGGTCAAAAGAAGTGTTTTTTTTCGTCTCACAGCTAGTTTTAGGACTTTCCAGGTATATATGTCTCAAAATAATGCTATTTTGTATTCTATATTCTGTATACGATAATGTTTGTACGAAAATGAGCTTATTCAATGGTATACAACCAGCTAAAAAATATTTAGTATTATATTATAACTTTTACACAATTATGATTTTATAATTGTGTAAAAGTAATAGTATGCTAATCAAACTACCTGATGTATAATTAATTCTCTAAAAGAAAATAATAAAAGAATGTGAGGTATTATTATTTTGTAAAAAATATTAAAACATAAAGATTTGTTCTTATTTTATATATAAGGCTCACTGCATTATTTTCATTTAAAAATAAACATATTCAAAAAATTCTATATTTTAAGAGAATTCTCTTCAAAAATAATTATAAAATCGATTTTGATTCCCAAGTTTATTGTCAATTTGAGATTTGTATGCATATTGAAATGCTGAAACTAGTAATTGTTATAATAAAATGAACAAACATGTTTGAACTATTTGTAAACTATTTCCAAAGTCTTAATAAATCCTTAAGATATGTTAACAACAAACTAGAGAAAACATTTGTATCAAGTATTTTGTTTCAAAAATGTCGGAGTTGTTAAGTGAATATAACTCCTTTCTGAAGCGGAGTCAAATCCTAACCGATCCGGCTTCGGATATGATAAGCCTATCTCCAGTATTTATTTGGTATATAAATGATTTTGAATATATATAGTACGTGTGTGGTACACTTTATTCAAGAAAAGCTATTTTTGCAGTAACAGCTTTTCATTTATATTTATTAACATTCTGTAGAGTCAAAAAAATATTTTTTTATATCCGTATGTTTCACAAAACCTTCTAGCGATTTTCCCAATAATAATTTAATAATAATAGTAATAATTTCCCAACATATGTATGTATGTATGCAATGTAAATAATATATTTTATACTTGAATGTATAAATATGCTTTTGTGTGTTTGCAGCATATATGTGCGGTGCACTTTCTTTAGAAAAATAAATTTGCTTTAAACATAGATGGACATAAAAGTTATAATTTTTCAAAGCCCTTCATATCCAGTTCAATTTCTTAGTAAAATTTGTTTGATATTTAATTCACTATTTATTATATTCATTAATATTGAAAATATTTAAATTTTTGTTAAATAAATATAAACTCTAAATGCAAAAGATGATAAACTGCTGACAATAAGTTAAGTAAATAATAACGAAATGATCGAGGAATATTAAATATTTTCATATGGATTTTTATAAATATTGTCACATTGTCTAATATTTACAAGAATTATATAAACTGAATTGCACAGTTGAAATTATTTGTTTAAAGTATACTAGAATAGAATTGATATTAAAATTTGAATTATTTTCGATATACCAAAAAATATTATTCTTGAAAAATTAGAAAAAAAAATTTTCCCAAAAGCAATTATTTTGTTGAAAAAAATATCAACAAAAAAAACTGTAAAAAAACCAAAGATTGCATTACACTTTATTTGTTTAATCATTTTTATCACCAGTTTTGGAACATGTTAACTTATATTTCAACAACATGAGTCAACATTTACTTTAAATTCTATGTGATTGTGTTACGAACCATGCATAAATTTCGCATTATTGTTCAAAATCTACAAAATTCTCACATTACAATCATGTTATATCAATGTAATTTTGGAACATTTACTGTTATAAGATATCATGTATGTATCTATAACAAATTACTTCAAACAAGAACTTGTAAAAAATACTTTGTTATTCAAATTTAATAGAAACAGACTCTGTTAGACGTCAATCAAGGAAATTATTTTAATTGTAATTTTTTTATTCGTGGAGTAAATATATTTTAAAATCTAACGCATTCTCTGATTAAAATAGAAGAATAACTAGATGTGTGTCCAAAACACTGTTGCTGTCAGTAAATACGATCGCTTAACCATTAAGGAAAATTATGATCAGCATAAATCTAATATAATTCTTACCTGGGGTCTCGCCAGGATCAAGGACGAAGACGCTGGTGGCCGCCAAGACGACACCGTCTTCTTGGGCTCCTTTCACACTAAGCGAACTGTGAGAGTCCGGATCGTTGCAGTCGAGATTTTCGCAAGCACCTGGGAAATTTATTAGATAATTATATTTGTATTATGCAAAAGAATTAAATTAATGCCTCATTTATAAAAAACTAGTGGAGCGCATGGCATCGTGCCTTAAGGCAAATTGCTGGAATTTCCCGTACCAAGAATGATTTTTTTTTTTTTAAAAATTAACATTTTTGAAAAAATTTTACTTTGGAAAAATTATATTTTTGAGAAACTATAAATTTTTAAAAAAAATTTTTTTTTGGAAAAAAAGCTTTTTGAAAAAAATGTTTTCTTTATTTTGAAATATTTTGGAAGTTTTGAACTTTTTTTTAAAGCAATCGTACTGCTTTAACTGCATAGAGACAGAATAAAGAAGCGCGTAAGCGCCGCGTCGCTGTCTAACAGATAAGCAAGGGTACGGAACCGATAGGAATGTAAACAAAATTTATACTTATTGTTAAAATCTCTATAAAATACCTGATAATTTGATATGCATGTGTCTAATGATCATTTTTGACCGCCAAATGGCATTTTTTTTTACTTTTTTCACTAAATCTCCGTAACCGCTAGACCTGCCTTCATGAAAATGTGATCAGTTCTTTATCTTGTCCATACAAGTGAAAGGTTTTTTGAATTATTGAAATCGGGCTCCGTTCTCTTAAAAACTGAGTTACCGTTTTTGGCACTTTTTGACCCGTATCTTCAAAACGGCTACCGCCAAAAACTAATCAGAACGTAACTAACCTGCCTCCGCCAAAAACTAATCAGCACGTCTCCTTATCAATACGAATCGAATGTATTTTGAAATATTCAAATCGGTTGATCCGTGTTCCCGAAATCGTGAACAAAAATTTGTATCTGCACACACACAAACTCATCCACTTTTTCTAAGGTATGCCAAAATGTTCAGAAAAAATTTCGTTTTCGATTTTTTTGCTATATAACTTGCCCTACGGGAAGTTAAAAAACAGTAATATAAATTGAGACTATAGTATTTTTTTAATTCGTAGATGTACACCTTTTTTGTTCCATTTGTAAAGAAGCAGCCCACATACTAGTGGTTCTGTGGGATTGAAGTTCGGTACAAATATTTAACTATTTCTTTAAAGAAATTGAAAAAAGTACGATTGCAAAGTTTTTCCATTCCAAGAATTTTTTATTGTAATGGAGTAACAATGAATTTTATAATATTGCTTATTTGATAGTACTAGCAAGAAAACAATTCTATATCTATGACAATTAATCCCATTGAAACGTACCTATATAAGAGAACAATTTCATATAATATTTTGCACTCAATAGTTTTATATTTTTTTATTTTCCTAGACAGCGATTTATTAAAAGAATCATATAATCCTTACAGATCGTAAAATAGTGACTCTCAGAAAATTGCTTCTCAGAAAAAAAGTGAATAAGAATAAAAAATTAATCTTTACAACATCAAAACTATCTTTTCTTCCAATCATTTTTCTAAGCGATAAAAATCATTATATGAACTTCCTATCAAGAACCCAAGTTAATTACAAACCTTTCATTTCACAGCAAAATACAATTGTACTACCTAGACCTAAAAAAAAGTTAGCAAATCTTTTTGCATAAGGAATGGGATCCGCATTTTATGAACCGAACATAATATCGTCGAAGTGCAGGATTCGACGTGTTGCAATTAATACCCGTTTTGTGCAGTTGCATATTAAAATCATTCTCGTTGGAAATAATGAGAGAAAATAGGCGTAACGAAATCGAAACAATTTCCTCGCTAATAATAATATAATTATAAATGCTTTGACTTGACTTTAACGATCGTTTGCCGCCGATCTTAGGGTATTTGGCACGTTTGGAAGTTGATACATAATAAATGTCTTATTCTGGTATTAAAACCAAACTAGTTGATTTGGTATTTAGCCTTGAGGCAAGTTACATGAACTTCCCGATATGTGTAAATAATTGACTGAATCAATAAAAAATAAATTAATTTATGAGTGATTATAAGTATTCCGAGTGGATTTATTACACATCATTGCAAACGAACGAACGAACATGTTAACTCGGAGTATTTTCTAAAAGCAAATTTTCAAAAATCAATAATTTTAATTAATCAATAATTATAATTGAACCAGTTTCCGTAGGACTTTAATGGTTTACTATGTTCAAGACCAAGTACACTATCGTTATACCAACTAAATCATCTAATTTTATTTTTAACAAACGTCAAAAAAACTACTCATTTTTTCAAACCTTGATGAATTTTTAAAATTAACCTACTTGTCGTAAGGCCGTAATAATTCAGTAAGTTCTATGAGACCATGATATATATCGCCAAAAAAAGTTACATAAAAATCAGCCTAAATTTTTTTTTCAACAGTTCATTACAAGAAAACGGCTCGGTAGATTTTCACCTAAAACTCATCAGTATCATTCCCAACTAATATCTTTCGAACAGTTTTTGATTTTTTAAAATCGGTTCGGTAGTATAAGCTTAAATGTGGACGAAAGGTTTACCACTTTTTTCCAAATTACAAAAAAACGGCTCGGCCGATCGTCTCACAAAACTGACAAACGATGGTCCTCATTAAGATACATCAAACGGCTTTTAAATTTCTGAAATCGGTTCAGGCGTTTTTGAGAAAACGTCGATGAAAGTTCTAATTTTGACAAATGCCAAAAAGATCATACTAATTTTTGCAAACTTTGACGAATTTTTAAAGCTAAACCAGTTATCGTAGGGCCGTAATATTTTAGTATGATCTAGAAGACTATGGTATCTACCGTCAAAAAAATAATCATAAAAATCACCAATTTTTTTTTTAAAAAACTTTATTACAAGAAAACGGCCCGGCCGATCTCTACCAAAAACTAATCAGCACGATTCCCAACCAATATCTTTCGAACGGTTTTTGAATTTTCGAAATCGAAACAGAATTGCGGGCTAAAACGTAGACGAAAAATTTTTCACTTTTCTGCGATTTATAAAGAAACGGCTTGACCGATCGTCGCACAAAATTAATAAACAATAGTCATCATCGAGATACATCGAGTGGCTTTTAAATTTTTGAAATCGGTCCAGCCGTTTTCGAGAAAACGTCGATTTACGGCAAAAAATCTGTTCACATACACGCACACACACACACACATACTTTTTCCAAATTTGGTCTCATTCGATTCAGAATGGCTTGAAACGTCGAGAAAACATAAAATTAGCAATTCGGATTTTTTTATGAAAACATAAACTTCTCCTTCCGGGAAGGTATAGTAATCGCAAAAAAACGAAAATGAAATTTTTCACATCAAATTATCAGATATTTTATACAGATTTTCATATATGTACACATTTTGTGTAAACTTTTTTAGGTTCCGTACCAAGATTTTTAAATACGGTACGGAAAGTTCCAGCAATTTGCCTTGAGGCACGATGCCATGCGCCCCACTAGTAAAATATCTTAACGATCATAGGTTACTTTGCTTTATTTTAAGAAAAAGTAATGTATTTTTTCGCCCGTGAGATAGTTGGAAGCATTTCCCTAGATCCTCGATCGTGCGAAGCCTCCGAGGCGATTTCTTAGGCGGCACGGAGACTAAAATAATAGATCGGCTGATTTATGGATGCCGGCACGCTGATAACTTAATTCGGTTATCAGAATAATATACCGATGTGCGATTTCACAGACAAGCTCTTTTTACAAAAAATATATAATAGTAAACAATAAAATGATCGCTTGGTCGGTCTTGAGGCAAAAGTGTTTGAAAAACTATAGTGAAGGATTTTCTTCTGATATAGATAGATATATTGTCTTGTAGAAAAAGGGATATTGAAGCTCATTATGTAGTGAGCCTTTGGGGAAATGCTATACAACGTGCTTTGAAGTGCGATTTATTTAATGATTTCAACTGATTTGAATCGAAATTTATTTTGCATTACATTTATTACAAAATTTTTTTACTCTTACCTCTGCAAATAGCAACAGCACATTGTATATGAACTTCGGTTCCGTCCTGAAACCGGAACATAGACCGAAGTTCCGCATCGGCAGTTCCAGAACTTGGATCATAATGGAACTCAGATATTACAGCCTCATCCCTCGGACATCTTAGTTATAAAAATACAAAACATCATTAATTTAATACATTTTGAATACTGCAACATTTGGTACATACCCTCTTTCATCTATTAGAGAAACACTCGTATTCTTTTTGTTGAAAGCAAAACAGTTTTTGACTCGAATTCCATAAGCACCTTAATAAAAAAAGAACATTATATCTAACCAAGTTTTTGTATCAATTCAAATAAGTGTACATATATAAATAAAAATAAATTTGCATCTATTGTAAATGCTTAATATAAACATATAAATATTACACTTATATTTCACAATATTGAATATTCCAAATTAAAAGAAACAAATTTAAACTTGTTATCAAAGCAATCATTTGTCCATATTTTTATGCATATTGTTTCAAATTGACATAATGGAGTTAAACGAGGCAGATTTTTCACCTTTGTCTGATGTGGCCAAATTAAAAGTAGTAAATTTAATTGAAAAACTTATGAATACTACAGAAGAATGTGAAAAAAATAAATTGACTATTGAAGACTTGACCGAACAACTTGAAAAGAAAAATAATCATATAGCCCAACAACAGCAAATGGCAAGTTAAAAAAATTATAGAATTAAAAAAAAACTGTAATTAGTGAGTTAATTATATATCTATAATATTTTTCTTCTCCTCCAGATTCTTGAATTTCACCAAATAGCCGAGGAGTTATCAAAAAGAAACGCGGAATTAGAAAATAATTTCCGATTTCGCGAAAAAACACTCAAACGTGAGATCAAACGATTTCGTATATTTTGCAGAAATCATGTCCACGTAAAGACATTAATCCAAGACTACAAACAAACTTTGGATAATCTCGAAAAATCTTTAAAAGTCCTGGAATCAAATCAAAATAAAGTTCTTAATAACAAAATTGAAATAGGAAATGGTGAAAGTAAAAATGTTCCACAAACCACGGAGCTGTCATGGCAAGAAGGAGCATTGTTCACTGATTTATTTTTCCCAAGGCAATTATTTGATGATGTTGTGAATGTTTTAGGTATTGCTGATAATGATGCACAAAATACGTAAAATACAGAATTTATATTTGGAACATATAGTATTTATTAACATACGAACCATCAGGTTTGCTAATTTCAGCCCTTAACGTGTATGGCCTTCCATAAATTGTTTCTTGAGCCCTTCGGCCTTGGTCTAATATCCGTAGAGAAACGAGAGATGTTTCATTTCTAAAAAAATATAAAAAATATTGATATAATTTATATATTTTATATTTCTTTAACCCGAACCAAAACTCAAACTTATAAATCACCTAAATTATTACTGATTAAATCGATTATATACACATTTTGTTACGGAAAAATTCTACTAACACCTAGATTATCTTATATTAAGTATTATTAAAGTAAAACTACTTAGACGCGACGTAGGTGTATTTGTAAATCCGCACAAATGCAACGGAAGTCCGTTACGCCTGAACTGTTCGTCATTCGCTCTCAATGGAATCATTTCTTTAGCGGGTGGATTGTGATTAGCCGTCATGTATGTGAATAGAGATTTGTCGCTGTATGCGTACCGGCATCAACGTTGTATGCGTACCGATATCAACAAGGAAATCTTAATTTAAGGGGCACAACTAGTGTAACCGCCTAAAAAAATGATTTTTGGGAATTTATATTAAAAAACTACTTTATCAATTATTTCAACATTTTAGGAATATATTAATACATGTTTTAAGAATACATAGTAAAATTTTTGAAGAAAAAAATTAAATATTTTTTAAGTTATCGTCGATCTCCAACGGCGCGACAAGAAAAAAGGCCCTTCACTGCTGCAGTGATTCCGGCCTTTTACGTGGATGAAATTAAAAAAAAAATTCTCGTTAAACTAGATAATATTGTCTGTAAAATGCACTATAATAAAGAAAAAAAATCAAAAATTAAATGACGCTGTTTTTTTTAAAAAAAGTCGAATTTTACCTAAAATTTTGGTCGTTTTTGGACTGCCAAAATTCGATTTTTGATCCGATCAAAAAATCGATAGTTCATTTTACGGAGAACTATATATAGAACATGTAAAAAAAATTTGATAGTGGTCGGATCATTTATTTTTCAGTAATCGCTGCAGCAAATTCGTAAAATGCTGTTTCGAGAAAAACGGGTTTAAAGATTAAATGATCGTTATACTATATACTATATATATACTCTTTAAATGGCTGTAACTCAAAAACTATTTAAGATATCGATTTAAAATTTTGGTATGTTATTTTCAAAGGTTAATAAATTGAAAATTCGATTTTTTGAAAATTTCACACTAGTTGTGCCCCTTAATAAAAAATGCCTGAATCAGAAGAATATTTTACCCTGTTCCTTGAAAATAATATAACAAATTAAATGTTTGGGCCGTGTACTAAACGTAAATTTATTGATTAGAAATTGTTTTTATAGTAGTTTCTATACATCTTTGAAGTTATTAAAGTGAAAAATATTTTTTAGCCAAGACAGATATTACAGCTGTTCAAAGAATGAGATTATATTGCCAGCAAAATAAAAGTAAAAAAAAACACAAGCAGTCAATTAATGTATGTTAATTTTAATTACATGAAGTTCTTCAAACACAATTACATGATGAGTGAAGTTGCGAAAACAATATTTGTTTAAGCGTTGTTTAACATAATCCACGAATATTATAGAATTTATTAATCAGCAATTACTTCAATTCTTTAATGAAGGTTCATTTCTAAATGCTAATTACAATGACAAACCGATCATGTCATATTTGAAGCATGATTTTAATTACATTATTGTTTTTAAATATTATACATATTTTTAATGCTAATAGAAACATATAATTTATAATTTATCATTATATAAATGTGTATAATGGTTGACACTAATAAATGTGTGCATCACGAGTGTTACAATATTACTAATGAACATTATTCAAAATTGTTATATGATGTATTTATTTTTACTTAAATGCCATCTGTACAGTAGCAAATAAGTTTTACTTCAATGGCGTGTGAACCTTACTCGCACTCTTATTATTTCCTAATACCGCGGTTAATAAAAATTCTTCCGGTCTGTCAAAATAATTGCACTTCAATCCATCAAAAGATTTATGAAATACCGTTAGCAATGAAAAGCGCGAAGTGGATTATTAAAGCAATTTGCTAGATAGTTTATATGTATTTACGATGGCATTAGCCCTATTACGTCTGCCACTAAATAGAGGATAGATAATATACAAAAGCATGCCACTATTAATATTGTGCGTGACAGCTTGTTACAACTATTTATATACTATACATATATAGTTTATCCGATTTGATTAATGGTGAACGAAGGATTCATGTTAGAATTCGAACGCGTTAGGTTGGTTAACTGTAAATGCTCGACATAAATCGATTTCAAGAAATGAAAATTAATTGCAAAATGAATTTATGGCACACCAAAAGGAAGAAAATGTATTGTGCCATATCATATTAGAGTATAGTAATATGACATAGCAATATATCACAATTAGGAAGGAGACGTTTGGGTTGTCTTCTATTACAGAGTGTTCAAGTATAAGTTAATTTCAACTTAAGCAATAACTCATATTTTTAGTACTTCACCTGGCATTTTTGAATCCTGCTTTTCCGCAAGTAATTACATAGAATTTGTCATCGGCTAATTCTAATGTTCGGTGGACCCTAACAGCCAAAGGCACCGAACGCTCTTCAGTTCTCTGAAAATAGAAACAAATTGTCAGTTAAATAATTATAAAAAAATATAAAATCAAGTTACATGAACGTCCCGATGTGTAAATAAATAAATAATAAATAATAAACAAATTAATTTATGAGTGATTATTAGTATTCCGAGTGGATTTATTACACATAATTGAAAACGAACGAACACGTTAACTCGAAGTATTTTCTAAAAGCAAATTTTCACAAATCAATAATTTTTATAATCGAACCAGTTTTCGTAGGACGTTAATGGTTTAGTATGTTCATTAAGACCAAGTAATCTATTGTTATATCAAGTAAATCCTCTAATTTTAATTTTAACAAACGTCAAAAAACTACTCATTTTCTCAAACTTTGATGAATTTTTAAAATTAAACTACTTGTTGTAAGGCCGTAATATTTCAGTAAGTTCTATAAGACTATGATATATATCTCCAAAAAAAGTTCCATAAAAATCGACTCTTCGAATCTAATTTTTTTTCCAACGGTTAATTACAAGAAAATGGCTCGGTAGATTTTCACCTGTATCATTTCCAACTAATATCTTTCGAACAGTTTTTGATTTTTCAAAAACGATACTAATTTTTGCAAACTTTGACGAATTTTTAAAGTTAAACCAATTGTCGCAGATCCGTAATATTTTAGTATGATCTAGAAGACTATGGTATCTACAGTCAAAAAAAAAAAAAATCTATGACTTGAATCGCTAAGTAATCACAGACAGGAACATATAGTTCAATTCATGATGTCGTTAATTAGCTTAAACAATAATTCAGCCAGGTTTTTCAAAGGTCGTAGCAAAATAAGGGAAGTGAACCAATGTCTATTAAAACTTGCTATAAAGTATAATCCACTATGAAGCAATATGTATATGTATACGTTTATATATGTATTATTATGTGTGTATGCCTATATTACAACCGCAGTACGAAGTTACAGCTATTGCAACAAAACGCATTTCTTCCTGGTCTTAGTTCAATGTTTATTTCAACGGTCACTTCATACAATCATGATGATTTTATGGAATTATTGTTCACGCATCTCGACTTTCAAATAACAGCAATAACATTTTACAGTTTAAATTCACAATTCAATTTTACACTATTTGTACAAGTATCAATATATTAGCTCATTTTTACAAAACATCTTATTAGAGTAAAGAACTTCATCACCGTTGGTTTCAATTTTTAAGTGGTGAAATTGAGCCGACACGCTTGGAAGTTCTCATAAATCTTTCACCTGGAATCATAATCTATACTTAGTAACTATTCGCTGAAGTCTATAGGAGTTATATATTATGTATTATAATTGCAATTAGTTTTCTTATACATTTTTTATGAGGGCCCGCCCCAAGGCACGTACACGAATATTATCGAGAATAACTGTAACAATTCCGGTAAGGCGGAATTTACAACTCGCCAAAGATATCTTGATGGCTATTAATTTCAGTTGTAAAATGATTAATTCAGATTTATAGGTTTAATAAGTTAGATTTGATTAATTGAACGAGATTTTTGACTTGGAAAATAAGATTCATTAAGATAAAATAAATTATGCATATATATATTTATATATTTTGTTAGGGGTATCCAATTATAAATTATATTATAAATTACTATATAACGGTCAGAATACAAACAACGCAGTTAGTGTTACGTTGCGTTGATAAAATTCCTTTTGAAACCACAAACTGCGTCTTAACGACTAAGTAAAGCATAGTTTTGAACTAGGCAGTGACATTGAACAAGAATTACAATGTCAAATACAAGCAGGCACATAAATACCAAGCAATGGCGCAGTCGTCATTAAGTTATAATAATGTTCAGATCATTACGAATCAGTAATATTTAGTAATCAATGGAGTTATATTTAAGTTCAGTTGTTCAAGTTATATGTAAAGTGTACGAGAAGTCATGAAATAAATGAGTACACAAAAAGTCTTCATCTGTTTTACTGATTCGCCTCCACAGTTTAGTAATAGCTTGTTAGCAGCAGGAAAAACTTACATATTATTGGCACGTTGCTGGATGGGGCACAACATATATATATATATATATATATATATATATATATATATATATATATATATTACCATTCATATTTCTAATAAATCGTTTATCACAAATCAGATGCAAATCATCGACTCGATAAAATATATAGTTTATAATTCCATAAGGAAGCAACAAACGACTTGAGATTATAAACACAATTGAAAAGCCATAACTTATATACCTCGTTGAGTTTAGAGCCTGTTATCAATGCAAATTAAGCGTCATATACAAATTCAATGGCGCAATACTTTGAAAATGTGTACCTCGAAGCGTTTGACTGTAATCATTCAAACTAAAGCCTACTCTAAAAAAACGCCTTTGTAAGAAATACTATAAAATATAGTGCTTTGTTATCAATTATATCTAAACAAGGTAAGAGTAAAAAACAGATAAAACATACACATGTAAAATGGCAATGTGTCGTATCACGGGAGTTTTTGCAAAAGACACGGGAAAAACATCAATATTTTTATATTATAATTTTTAATGCAGATTATATAAAGTTTATTGCAGAGAAACTAAATACTACATTATTTTGAAATATACCACTGCCTTAAGCCACTTCTAGCACGATGTAATATTTACATCGACAAAAATAAGTATAAATATTTGATTTTTTCAAATCAAAACTGTCGATGTACCTTAAAATTTTATTATACAAACAAATTATTATATCCCCAAACCAGTTTGGATGTATGGCATCCATCTATGGGGTGCCGCTAAAGTCAGTAACATACCAATAATGCAACGATTCCAAAATAAAATACTCTGACAAACAATATCCGCGACAAAGTATGTACCTACATGGTTAATTCACCAAGACACCGATACACTCACAATCAGTAAAGAAATTAAAAAAAGAGTGCCATTAAATTGACCATCATCTTAACCTGAAACAACGCGTAGGTTGAGGTCGGTGTGCGATAGGGGTAACGCTTAGAAGAGGGACTTCATTTAAGTTCCGCCTGGACATGTGCAATGCAGAATCTCAAGCCAAACCATTTAAATTATATTTTTTATAGATTAATATATTAAATACCAAATCATTGACAAAAGTGTCTTCCGTTCGTTTCCGCGACGCATTTATTTCTAGAATCTTTAAGACAAATCGCATCGCACGCAGTTATGTGGAACTCGTGACAGAAAGGAGGAGAATCCAATGCATTACTTTCGTACATAAACGTTCATAAAATATCATTTAGAATTGCCGTTTATAAAACATTTATAAAAGCAAATGTCTTCCTATGCTATAATGTATCTGATTTTGTATCGGACAGAATACGACAAGGCCGTAATATTATATGGTAATAGCGATATTAGTAGTCAAAGACATGGAATTACATCGACAATGCAAAGGCATATTGTAAAACTAAATTGTTATGAACGTTTTAACAACGACGGAAAATAGATCTATATAGATTTGATAACGAGTGCGGTTTCAATTTATTACTGGCACACTAAATTAGTTTTTCAACAAATTTCGGCAATCAAACACAATTGCATCTTTAATGAATTACTATTACAACACCATAATTTTTCATAAATGGTCAAAATATCAAATGATTCTAATAGTCTAAAAGTTGGTTATCCATGGCTTTACAAAGTTTTCTCTAAAGAAATATCATCTGAGTCTGCTCGGACGTATTTTCGTTTTATTATATTGGTCATGAAGGTGACAAACTTCAGGGCATTAAGCTTTACATGGAATGGTTGCTACCCCCGGTAGAGGGGGTAGCGAAGTGTTTTAATTGAAGTAGTTGTTCACTTCTAAAAGTAAAGTCCACGAAACAACATGTATAATAAATAATAAATAAATATATCTTATTTCTTAGTAACAAAGCAGTGATTGCAATTAGAACTGTAACAAATACATAATATACAAACAAATCATTTTTTAATACAGTCCACAGCTGCAAGGGTTAAATTATAAACCAACAACCTGAGTTCTCGCAGGAAAGTTTTAATAAATTTCATAATTACTTGGCAGTATACAGAGTCTTACTCAGGTTATTTACATCGAATCAGATGGACATAAGATTATTGCAATAATAAAAAAAATTATTAAATAAATTAAATCCACAATAATTTTTTAATACTTCAAATATGATATTGCAGTGCTTAATTGCAATAAATTTTATAATTATTTCTTCATAAGAAGGCAACATGAAAACATTTATCTCAATCATAAAACAAATGCAAATTTTTACACATATTCTAATTTAAACAAGATTAAAATGTTTGTTTTATTTGCATTATAAAAGGAATGATATGTTACTAAAAAGCAATAAAAGTGATTTAAATTTAAATTAAATTCATGCACGTACGAAATTATTTCTGCAATCTGTACTAAACCAAGGGAAGGAGGAAATAAATCTTGAAATATATCTCAAACTTTTAGTAAAAATATGAAATTTGTTCAAGTAATTATGGCATTGTAATTATAGAGTTTAATAATTTTAAGAAGTGAATTTGAATTACAAAAATTATACATATCATTTAAGATAACATGGTAATTTAAATCAATTCTATTACAATTATTTCAATTACATTTCCATGTTCCTCCAACAAATCAGAATAATTCCTTCAAACACGAGCAACGGTACATATTTGTAACTACAGTTCTCTCACGATGTTATTTCGAATAAAATCTGTCATTACGTATTCAAGGTAGAAATACATATATATTGTAAAAATAATCCGAGAAGAAAATTACATATCCCCAGGTTAGGAAAAATAATGCAAATAGAACAAATCGCTACTAAACTGAGATTTTACAAAGTCGCAAAAATAGGAAACAGAGACCACACACGCACGGGAAGTTATTTTACATTTCTAGAAATGTAGGTAATATAATTTTATAGGTGTGTATAATTTGATATATTAAAAACAGGATATGTTTTTAACGTATTAAATTCCTTACTTCTGTATCACTTTAAATAAAATGT